CCCAGGGAACCACCACCCTGGACTCTGTGCTGGGGCAGAGCCAGAAAGGGGTCCCCGCTCCTTCTGTGCACTCATCCGAGAGCTGGAGGTGGCGCCAGCACACACTCACCCCTCGGGCCAGGGGCCACCAGGCAAGAAGTCACCCTGAGGGGCTCCTCGCCCAACAGCTGGCCCAGGAGTGGATGGAGAGCCTGTCGCAGCCTGAGGACAGCCAGGCCGGGCCCACACCCTGATGCTCTCTGAGGAGGGCGTTTATGGGGGGGTTTAGGGGGATCCTCTGCCGCCATGCCCACCACGCCCTCAGAACCAGACTCTGGAGCTTCAGGGAGGGATGGAGAGAAATGCTGACAGGATTTCCTGCCAGATGCTGGCAGCTCATGAGGTCCCATCTCAGGCTGGCTGCTTTGGGGGCTCCACCGGGAGGACAGCAGCCTTGCAGAGGGCACCCCAGCATCTCCCAGCCTGGTCCCGTTCCGGTGGTGGAGGGAAGTCCCATGGCCTCTCCGCGTCCTCTCCCCATGCACGGCCTGCACTTTGCTCCTCTGGAGCCTGGGGTCCCTTCAGTAGAATTTCCTGAGCATCTCTGAGCTGTAGGGTACCGGGGTGTGAGATGGGGAAGCCCTGGCTCACTATCTGGTGGGGAGACAGAGGGACAAGCATCTTCTGCTGGGAGTAGAGACATGAGCTTGAACAAGATGGGAAAGTTTTGGGGGACCCAGGAGCGAGGGGCTGAGTCAGGGCAGGAAGAACCCGGGTCTGGACGGGAAGTTAGGGTTTCCACAGACAGAGAGGGGAGGGAGGGCAGCCCAGGGGCCGAGGCGGGGGCCGAACTCCAAGTGTCAAGTGGAACGTGAGCCAACGCCCTCCTTACTCTGCACCCTCGTCTCTCTTGAGAAATTGTCGCTGGGGTTTTTGAACAGCTTCTCAGAGGCCCTGCGTGTGAGTGCGTGACCCTCAGAGTTAGGCTCTGCTCACCGAACCTGCAGGAACCTGGACTCAGAGAGATGTCAGCAAATGGAGCCAGAAAAGTGGACACACAAGGAGCGTCCAGCATCAATGCATCCGTAGGGCATCCTCTTCAATGGCCTGTCCTCAGAGGCCTGTGTCTGAGGATAGCAAGCGGCCAGCGTTGCTGTGACAGAGGTTGCTGGGTGGGAACAGAGGCTAAGGCACCATCCACGCTCAGTCCCCGCGAGGACTTCTGCCCCCAATGTGGTCTCTACCTCACAACCAAGTGGGGCGGGTCTTTAGGGAACCCCGGTTCCATCCTCTGTGTGAGGCCAAGGCGCATGCGCAGGCCTGTGCGGAGCTGGTGGAGATGCCCGCTGTGCCCTGCTCATGGGGCAGGACGGTCTCGCTGGAATTTGGGGACCAGGATGCAGCTCTGAGCGCCCGTGGGGTCTCTCCACTTCCGAGGCGGTTCGTTCCATGTCCTTCGAGGCTCAGGTCTGTGGACAAAACTATCCAGGCTGCGCTCCCCAGGCCTGGACGGACGCGGGGAGGGGAAAGGCCCTGGTCCTTGGTGCCTGACAGACGGCCAGAGGTAGCCCTGTCACCTTGGGCGGGTCACACTGCTCCTCTGGGCCTCAGTTCCCCTCTGTGAAGTGGGCTGTAGTGAGGATCAAATGAACTAGTGTCTGGAGGACGCATCGTACATGGAGGGCGGCCGGTACCCACAGCGCGTCTGAGGCTGCTGAAATTGGCCCTGATTGTGCCCAGGAGAGTCTCCAGCTGTCAATCAGCAGACTGCGCATGCTCAGTGGCCGGGGCCCTGCGCTTCAGGAAGCGGACCGGGCCTGCGCTGCCCCCTGCTGGTCGGCCGCCGCACAGCGCCTGCGTCGGAGGCTTTCAGGCCGGGATGGCTTTTTGTTGGTTTTCTGTTTGGCTGTTTGTGTTTTCGTTCTTGGTTTTTTTTTAGCTCTGCCCGTGGGGAGTTTTGGGTAACTTTCAGGCCGAGCTGGTCCTCCAATTCTCAGAAGGTGTGTGGGAGCCCAGCAGTCACCCCGCATAGTCCCCGAAGGAGGGAGGAGGATTCAGAAGCCTGTTTATTGGGTTCAGCTGATTCGGATCAGCATCTCCTGGGAGCTCAGTGGCTCCGGGTGTGGACCCAGCCCTGCCCGCCCAGCCCTCCGGTCATGGGCCTCAGTGGCTGCACGTACAGAGCGTTTCCGTGGCCAGGCCACGGACAGAGCTGTTAGCTAGATGATCCTGTGGGATCTCCCCGGGGACGCAGCTCCATATGGCTGTTTCCGGTGGGGAACCAGAGCCCTTGCAGGAGGAGAGGCTGGGCCAAGGTCCTGCTGCTGGAGGGGAGCATCGGTTCATGTGCTTGCTGGCCATCTGTGTGTCTTCTTAGGAGAGACGATGTTCAGATCCCAGCAAAGCCCCTTTCTCACTCTGTCCATAATGGAGCTTAGAGAGTGGGGGGTCAGCAATGAGAGCAGAGTTCACATCTGCCGGGCAAGACGCCAGGGAAAGACTCCAGCCAGGTCCTCCCTCCTCCTTCCTGCTTTATTTGGGCAAGCTGCTTCTTATCCCCCTGTCTCCCTGCCACACTTTATTCCAGACACAGGGCCACACCCTCTTCTTGCCCATCACCACTTTCTAGGAACCCTACACTGCATGGCCTCCAGTGAATGCAGGAGTCACTCCCTAGAAAATGGGTGCTGCATCTCATGAGGTCGGCCCATGGTCCTCAGACTTTAACCCACCAGCCCAAGTCCTGCAGGGCCAGGCTGGGCAGGGACCTCTCCACCTGCTGGCCTGGGTGATTGGACCAGACCTGCTGCCTCCTGCAGACCCCTAACTGTTCTTGTCTTGTTGTTCCAGTGCCCCCCACTTGCACGTGGGACTCCAGTATGTGACCTCTGCCAGGAAGGGGGTTTTCTGCAGAGCCTGGGATGATCCTGGTCTGTCCGAGATCTGGCTCTGGGATTAGAAGGTCCAAGGAGGCCTCGGGGTCCATGTTGTTCCTTCCACATTCAACCCCAGGGCCGAGCACATGGGCTGGCACGTGCTCTATGGTGAGGAAATATTGAATGAATGGGCAGATTGAACTACTCCTTCCTGAGCCCCTGTTCTGGGTCAGACACGCCCGTTTTCTTCCTTCATCTTTCTAACACATCCCTCCAACTAGGCCTTTACTCTTCCCATTTTAGAGGTGGAGAAACTGAGGCCCAGAGTGTCAGGACCAGAGGCCCAGTGGGGTCTTAGGACGGGTTGGCTCCAAACCCCAGCAGAAGGCAGGCCACCACCGCTGTCCCCAGGTGAGGAGTGGGCTGAAGCCCCTCCTGAAGGCCCCGGGGACCCTCAGGAGGAGGCCCCCCAGCACAGGCCCTGCCTGCTCAGCCTCAGTGTTTTCAAACCAGAAGGGGCAACAGGCTGGTCATCAAGAGAAGTGGCTGCCCAGGGGACCAGCCCTGGAGCATCTGCTGGGACTGAGGCTGCCCTCCGTCCAGGCGCCACCATGCGGGCTCCTTGTCCTGCACTTGTCCTCCTCCAGCCAATAATATGGATTTATAGATGGATGGACAGATGTTGTAAACTGAGGAGGGGTCCTGCCTTGCATCCTCCGTAGGAGGCCGGAGAAGAAGGGAGAGGCCAGGGGCTCTGGGGCACACCTGCCACCAACTGTCACAAGCCTCTCCGGAGCATCTGTCTCTGGGACGGACGTGGCTGGGAACCCTCCACTGGTGACTGGTGGCCCATGGGGCACCTTGAGACCACTGGGCCGTTGTAGGATGGCACAGCTGAGGGTGACGGGTGCCCAGCCTCCCCGTGGGTGGCGAGGCCTTTCCCAGGGGCTCCAGGGACAGACACACTCACGGAGGGCCCGGGAAGCAGGCCGCCACGGTCCCTCCCACACCTCCTCTGAGACCCCGCTCTACTCCGGGGTCCCTGGGACTCTGGCCAGTGGGCAGCTCCTGCCAGGCCGTGTCCTGCCCCCACCCTGTAGCAGCGCATACCTCAGCTCTTCTGGAATGTGTGTGCATCAGTGATATCTGTATATTTGAGGCATTTAAAAATCTATTTTCGTTACGATGGCAAATGAAGAGAATGAAAATCAATCTCAAAAAGAAAAGAAGTGGGCCAACAAACCCAAAAACATTCCCAAAGGCGCCCAGGTCTGTGGTGTGTGTCCTCGACTTGTGGTCCCTGAAGTCAAGTGTGTGGGGGGCGGTTGGACGCTGAGTCCCCCGCCAGGGGGCCTGCTGGGTGCACATTCCCAGACTCTGCCTGCCTCCCTCTGGTGGCTTCTGTGTCTCCTACTTTCCCCATCTGCCTGTCAGAGCCATAAACCTTTTGACTGGAGGGGCCTGTGAGGAGGGGCCCTGGCTCCCATGGGATGACCTCACCCATAGGTGTGGTGTCCTCCTCCTGGGATCAGGCGAGTGTCTCAGGATGTGTCATGGAGACATATAGCCCTTCTAGCCCAGGCCCCAAGCCCCCGCGTACCCCAGGTCTGCCCCGGGCTGCCCCAGGCCCGTGCCTTTGCCACGATGCTCCTCGCAGCCCCCCTCGAGTCTTCCTGCCTCCGCTTTGGCCCCTCCCGCCTCGCCTCCCCTCCCCTCATGGCCAGGGGCATGTCCTCAGTAAGGTCCGCCTGCTCAGACCACACGCCCGAGTCCTCCCAGCCCCTCGTCCACCTGAACCCCTACGTGGTGTCCTCCGCCTCAACTTCCTCCAACGCGTCCTCCCAGATCCTTGGGCTGCAGCAGGAACAGATGTGCTATCCAGTTCCTATCTTTCCAGACCGGTTCAGACGCCCCTTCCAGGCAGCCCACCCAGACTTCCCTACACAGGGAGAATTGTCTCCGAGCTGGGCTCCCACTGTGCTCAGGCCCGTGGTCATCTGTCCTGGCACGGGTGCTGGGGTCCCAGGGAACCCTGTGAACCAGGGGCAGGGCCTTGTCCAGTGCTTGGCCAGGGCTCAACTCAGGGCGGACTTCAATGAGAATGAATGAATGAAGGAGCGAATGACAGAATGAGTGAATGACAAGTGCCCGTCCCAAAGGAAGAAGCTTTATTGTTGTCACTGAGGGAAGGAATGGAGGTACAAAGCGTGGGCAGGGGCTGAGGGCACCTCCAAGTCCCTGAGGCCCCAACCCAGGGCTGCGTCCTCCTAGGCCTCCTCCTGTTTCTTCTTCCTTTCCTCCTCGTGCTCCTTATCCAGCGGCCCACACTGATCCTAGAAGATGGGGAGAGAGGGCATGGTGACAGGGAGAGCGGGGGTCTCTGGGGGAAGATGGAATGACCTGTGACAGTGGTCCAGCCCACCCAGGGCTCCAGCCTGGCTCTGCCACTTCTGAGCTGGGTGACCTTGGGCGAGTCACTTTCCCTCTCTGAGCCTCAGCTTATTCACCTCTAAAATGGGGCCTCAAACCCTTGGGAAAAGCTGGCGTTTACTGAGTACTTATGCCCGCCCATCCCTCATGCTGGCCTCCTGCATCCTCACCACCATTGTACAGATAATGGGACTGAGGCTCCAGGAGGCCGTGTGGCCTCCGTTGTCCCCTAGCCAGAAGGTGGGGCGGCAGGCCACAGGCCAGGGCACCACTTCCAGCATCTGTGTCCATCAGCCCTTTCCCATGGTTCCCGGGAGCAATGGCGGGGGGGATTTGTGCCACTGGTGTCACAGGTGTCTCGTCTTGGCTGGCAGCTTTGCCTCCCTGAACCTCAGGGGCTGCCCCAGGCAGGACCACCCTCAGGGTGCCCACTGCCCAGCCCTCCTTGCACTCACCTGTTTCTCATCAGCGTATATGATTTCCGACTTGTCCATGCCCACGCACGCAATGGATTCATAGAACTCACTCATTTGCTCCTGGGTCACCTCAGGCCTGTCCACTGCAGGAGGGAGCACGGGGCTGGGTGAGGATGCTGGGAGCCTGGGTGGGAGGCCAGGGAAGCCTGGGGTTCGGGGGGCCCAGCCCCAGGACCGGGTGGTCCCAGGGTCAGGCCTGGCTAGGAGGCAAGGGCAGGATGTGTTCCTGAGGGTCCAGCCCCAGCAGCAGAGGGTCCCAGCTTGAGGCCTGGGTGGGCGGGGGTTGGAGGGGCCCCTACCGTAGATGGCCAGCCCCACATTCTGCTTGTCATCCGGGAAGTAGAGAATCATGAAGGTTCTGGGGTCCTTGGTGAGCCACAAGTAGCCAACATGTTCTCTGCCCAGCGCTGGAGGAGGAAGCCTCTGGTGAGACCACAGGGACAGCATCACAGTTCCCATCACACCTGTGAGGACACTTGTGTGCCCAGGGCCACACAGCCAAGGGGTGACTGCCAGGGGCTCACTTGGGCCCCATGTCCCTGGCTCCTACTGTGCGCCAGGCCCTGCAGGAGCCCATTCCTCGTGTGGAAGCCCAGGAGCTGCACGCAGACTGTGGCCATCAGCCACTTCCTCCCCGTTTTGCAGATGAAAACGAGGCCTGGGGAGGGACCCGGGGCTGCTATGTGCTGTGGGTCCACGTCCATCGCCATCCTGTGCTCCTACTATGTGCCCTCTCTGCAGTGATGGTGCGACGGGGGTGAAGTCACTGCCTGCCCAATGCGCAGGCTGCCCCCTTAGTAACCGGGGGATAGAGATGGATGATTGAGAGGCGGCACGGAGCCAGCCTGGGGTTTCATCCGAGGTCTCACTGCAAGTGTGTGACCTCGGGAAACTACTTGACATCTCTGTTTTCCTGTTTGCTCATCTGATTGCCTAATGTCCTCCTAGGGTTGTCTGTGAGAATTAAGTGGGTTAAAGCATGCCAGGGGCTTCAGGGTGCTGGGCACAAAGTCAGAACTCGAAACTGGTGACTATTACAGTGTGCAGGCGCCAGGACCACGGAGACAGAAGAAGCAGGCCTGTCTCGTATTCTCTCTGTGTCCACAGCCCCAAGGGCTTTGGCCTCATCCCTTCCTGTCGACTCGCCCGCCCACGTCCTCCCCATTCCACACAGCCGCTCTGTGCCCGAGGGCTGCTCTCACCATGTTTGGATAAGGTCCCTTTGTCGCGCTGGACATTCAAGATGCCGGAGTCATAGATGCACTGGTTGCCACTAGGGCCAGAGTGAAGGGGCAAGAAAAACAGTTAGTCAGTCAAGGAGAAGTGGACAATCACCCATCACAGACACCTGGGGTCAGGAGTCTGCTGGCAATTGGGGTCAGCCCTCCCCATTCCATGGAGGGGAAGGCCGAGGCCAGGAAGGGGACAGGCCTTGCTCCAGGTCCTCCGGCGGCTCAGGGTAGAAGCCAGAAGCTGGGGCTGGGCTGGGCGTGTGGGGGTCTCACATGGTCGAGTACTCCCTGAGCTGTATCGTGTCCTCCCTCTTGTTGGGGGCTAAGTAGAAGAAAGCCGCCTGGAGCTTCTTAGTCATCTCAAGGTACTCAGGGTTGCGGAAGGCCGACGCGATATAGAACCACTTGCCAGAGATCTGGGGAGAAGCCAGGAGCAGGTGAGGGAGGCTGGGAGCCGGAGTCTCGATGGTCCACGGGACAAGACTCCAGCACACCTCTCCCTCCAGTTTGCAAACAGCAGGACTGGAGCCCCAGGAGAAGTTTGGACGTGCAGGAGCTCAGGCTGAGGGTCAAGCATCCCCCTAAGCCAGTGGCCCACCCTTGTCCAGTACACAACTGTCCCCTGCTGTGGACCTGACAACGAGGCTTCTGAGTTGGAAGGCAGAGGAAGGCCACTGGAGGCTGGTCAGAATTTCACCCCCAGAGCCACGAGAGGAAACGGCAGAGTCAGAGGAGGGGGCTGACCACAAGCCAGCAGGGCAGAGGGAAGCCCAGAGAGGGAGGAAGCTTTCCAGAGGGCCCAGCACTCACCCGGTCCAGGGTGGCGTCGGTGATAGGCGATGCCCTGAAGTTGGCACACACTGGGCTCTGGGCGTCCAGCAGAGGAAGGAGGCTAAGGACCGTGAGAACCCAGGGCAGCGCCATGCTGAGATGGCGAGGCACCTGGAGACAACGGAAGTGGTGGCTGGAGGGTGCAGTGACCTTTATCAGGAGCTGTGGGCAGATGTGACACCATCCGGTGGTGGGGAAATGCCTTGCACAAAACCTGCCCTCCTTCCCTAAAAGCAAGCTTGAGGCAAAGCCTCTAAGCCCTGGTCTAATTTGGGTCCTTGAACTGAATGCCAGGCTTTTCAAGGCCAAGGTGGTTGTGGGCTGGACGGATATTTGTCAACATGTGGATTTCAAGAGTCAGGCCTCTCAGCAAACTGTCATGTCATCTAATTCTTATGCACTGACTTGGGAGGGCTCCAGCCGTACATCAAATGTTGAAGGCAAGTAAGACTTCCCAGGCTTCAGTGGCGTGCAGGGGTGAAAGCTGAGGGAGGGCTTTGGGGGTGGGGGTGATGGGAAACACAGATGGAATTCAACTGAGTGGGGTGAAAACTGTGAAATAGGAAAAGTCCTGAGGGTCTGACCCACCTCCAAGGCAGGGATGCTTCCGAAGGAGGGGGCATCTATGCTAAGTGTCTATTTCCAGGACAAGTGTTACTTGAATCATCTGCCAAGATCAAAAACAGGAAATCGTCCCTATCTTGGCTCCACCCCTACCATGCCTGCAGAGAGCCTGTCTGTGTCCTCAACAGTCCATCCCCAGTCCTGGCACAGGGCCCAGCACGTGGTGGGCCTCCCTAAATCTGTGGGATGAAAAATCCACTGCCCATTTGCATTTCTACCTGAGGGGGTCCAATCTCCATCCATAGGAGTCAAGAATTTTGAAACATATTAATATGGGGAGTGACGTCAGCATCACAACACGCAGAACTCTCGCCTGGGACTCTCCTCCAAGATATTAAATAAAGGACATTTAAATACCAACAGAGGACATTTGCACAACACAAAAGACGTCAGAGAGACCCTTGCAGCCATACGTCTGAAGGTGGAGGTGCAGGACCCCCTGGGGCAAGTGGCAGGAGGTAAGGGGGTCTCCTCTCCCTCCCCCATGGCTCGATGCAGGGCTTGGGAGAGGGTGGGTACAAGAGGGAAGTGGGGAGGGGTGGTGATCTGCAGGATCCCCATCCGTGTCCTCGTTCTCTCACTGCCTGGGGGAAAGCACTTCACAGAGGTGACTAAGTTATTGCAGGGGTGTCTTCACCAAGCCAGCACCCTAGGAGAGCAGATACTGTGGGCAGAGTGAGAACAACCCCCAGATAGAGCAGGTGAAAGAAAGCACCCTTCCCCCCACCCAGTGCTCCTGCTCAGCCAGGCAGCCAGAGCACCAGCACAGGTAGAAATGCAGCCAGCGGCTATGAGCGAGTTCAGAATACAAAGCTGTTGACATCTACCCACTAGCAGCAGGTGGAAGCTGCAACCAGATACTATCACTGTGTGGAGGCACAAATCCATGCCATTAAACAGTATGAAAAAACTATATTAAATCTCCAGACCAGAAGGAAAATGACAGACACCCAGAAATCAATCCTGAAAGCACTGAAATTTATAATCTAAATGACAGACTATTCAAGATAGCTATCCTAAAAAACTCAAAAGGATACAAGAACATACAGATAGATAGTTCAATGAAATCAGGTACTTCTTCACAAAAGAGATAGAAACTATAAAGAAGAAGCAGTTAGAAACCTTGGAGATGAAAAACACAATGGAAGAGATCAAGAAAAATCTAGAATCCTTGAATAACAGGGTTGAAATTGTGGAGGAGAGACTCATGAGTCTGGATGACAGAAATAGAAATGCTTCGAATGGGGGAGGAGCGAGAACTAAGAAGGAAGGGAAATGAAGAAATTCTCCAAGAAATATCTGACTCAACTGGGAAATGCAACAGAAGGACTAGAGGTCTGTGAGAGGGAGAAGGGAAGAAGAATGGAGCGGAAAACTTGTTCAAAGTAATAACAGCTGAGAACTTCCCAAACCTGGGAAAGGACTGGAAAGACAAGGAAAGAACACAATAGACCTCCTAACTGTATCGATGTAAAGAGACCTAATCCATGGTGTATAATAGGAAAGCTGGCAAAAGTCAATGATAAAGAAAAAGTATTAAGGGTAGCAAGGCAGAAGAAAATAACTTACAAAGGAACCCCTATGAGGCTGTCAGCAGATTGCTCAGCAGATACCTTCCATGCTGGGAGAGAGTGGATTGATGTATTCAACATTCTGAGAGACGAAAACTTTCAGCCAAGAATACTCTATCCAGTGAAAATATGCATCAGACGTGATGGAGAAATAAAAACCTTCCCCGATAAACAGAAGCCGAGGTCGTTCCTGGCCATAAAACCCCCACCCCCAGAAGAAATGCTCCAGAAGGACCTTATACCCAGAAAGAAAAGGAGGAAAAAGGTTACCATCCTTGAGTAATGAGATAAATAAGTAGAGAAAATGAGAAAATGGCAGTTCTCTCTCAGAACAGGCTCACAAACACTTAATTATTACAGTAAAGATAAAGGGCAGGAAAAACACCAAAAATAAATCTGATCTCGTCATTTTGACCACAAACTCAAAACAAAAGATGGGATAAGTTGTGGCAATAACTATTTAGAAGGGGAAGCAGAAAGGGATAGAATCAGCTTAGTCTAAGGAAATAAGAGGCTATTGGAAAATGGATTATCTCATCTATGAGATTTTTTATACAAACCAGATGGTAACCACTAAACCAATGATCGGAAAAGAGACACAAACGATAAAGAAAGAGAAAACTAAGAAAATCATCATAGAAAACTACCTAATTAAATTAGTAGTCTGAAATACACGGGCTGAGAAACAAAGGAAATGCAGAAGAAGTGGAACATGAGCTATAAAATGGCAGCATTAAGCCCTCCTAGGTCAATCATCACTCTAAATGTAAATGGATTGAATTCTCCAATCAAAAGACACAGAGTGGTGGGATGGATTAAGATACGAGACCCAACAGTCTGCTGCCTCCAGGAAATACGTCTCAGCTTCAAAGAGAAACACAGGCTCAGAGGGAAGGGATGGAAGATGACACTCCAGACTAATGGCCAACAAAAGGAAGCAGGTGTTGCCATACCTATGTCAGACAAAGGAGACTTCAAGTTAAAACAGGGAATGAGTGACAATGAAGGGCAGTGTATAATGATAAAAGAGATGCTCCACCAAGAAAATGGAATACTGATAAATATGTATGCACCCAACACAGGACCACCGAAGTACATAAAGCAACTATCAACAAACCTCAAAGGAGATATTTACAAACAACACAACAGTAATGGGGGACCATAACACCCCACTTAGATCACCTATCTGAATGGAAAGTAATCCAGAGAGAGATTCGACGAGGAAATGGTGGATTTAAATGAAAAACTAGGCCAGATGGACTTCATAGATATTTATAGAACACTCCATCCAAAAAGCACAGAGTACACGTTCTTCTCAAGTGCACTGTGAACATTCTCAAGGATACACCATATATTGGAAAATGTAGCAAACCTCAGTGAATAAGAAGATTGGAATCACATCAAACAACTTTCTTCACCATAATGCTATGAAAACAGATAATTACAAGAAAAAACTAGGAAAGGAACAAAGATGTGGAGACTAAACAGCATGCTACTCAACAACCACTGGATCAGTGAAGAAATTTTAAAAGCTATCAAAAAATATCTGAAGGTGAATGAAAATACACCATACCAATTCATATGGGATGCAGCAAAAGTGATGCCATGAGGCAAATTCATAGCAAAATAGGCCCATCTCCACAAACAAGAAAAATCTCAAATAAGCAATCTTAAACCACACCTATCAGAAATAGAGCAGAAGAACAGACAAAGCCCAAAGTCAACAGAAGGAGAGAAATAATAAAAATTGGAGCAGAAGTAAAAGAAATTGAAACAAAAAACTCAGTAGAAAGGATCAATGAAACAACGAACTGTTTCATTGAGAAGATAAACAAAATTGATGAACCCTTAGACAGACCCACTAAGAGAATAAGAGAGAAGGCTCAAATAAATAAAATTATAGATGAAAGAGGAGAAATGACAATGGATACCACAGAAATACAAAGGAATCTAAGAGAATACTAGAAAGGACTATCTGCAAACAAATTGGACAATCTAGAAGAAATGGATAAATTCTTAGACTCATCCAACCTCCCAAAACTGAATCAAGAAGAAATAGGGAATCTGAATAGACCAATCACAAGTGGGGCGATTGAAACAGTCATCAAAATACCTCCCAAAAAATAAAAGTCTAGGACCAGGTGGCTTTTCTGGAGAATTCTAACAAACATTCAAAAAAGATTTAACAGCTATCTTTATCAATGTATTCCAAAATATTGAGGAAGATGGAACACTTCTTAGCCCATCTTATGAGGCCAACATCACCCTAGGACTAAAGCAAGAGAAGGACAAGAGAAGGAGTTAAATTACAGGCCAATATCACTGATGAACATAGAAGCAAAAGTCCTTAGCAAACTATTGGCAAACTGAGTACAGCAAGACATTAAAAAGATCATACACCATGATCAAGTGGGATTTATACCGGGACACAGGAATGGTTCAACATCTGAAAATCAGTCACTGTGATAAACCACGTTAACAAAACGAGGAATAAAAATCACGTGATCATCTCAATAGACACAGAGAAAACTTTTGACAAGATCCAACATCTGTTTATGACAAAAACTCTCAATAAAATGGGTATAGAGGGAAACTACCACAACATAATGAAGGCCATATATGACAAACCCATAGCAACATCAAGGGGAAAAAACGGAAAGCCATTCCTCTGAGAAAAGGAATAAGACAAGGGTGCCCATGCTTGCCACTCTTATTCAACATAGTACTGGAGCTCTGGGCCAGAGCAATTAAGCAAGAAAAAGAAATGAAAGGAATCCAAATAGGCAATGAAGAGGCACAACACTTGCTGTTTGCAGACCATAGATTTTATACATAGAAAACCCTAAAAAATCCATCAGAAAACTATTAGAAATAATCAACAGCTACAGCAAAGTTTCAGGGTACAAATCAGCTTACAAAAATCAGTTGCATTTCTATACTGTAATAATGAGCTAACA